TACCTACTGAATTGTATACAGTGATGTATGCTTTGATTATGCAGACAAGGTGCAATTCAGTATGCTGGAACCCCAGAGAACCCATGAACTTCACTGCTGTAAGATCCAAATTTATTTTTATATTTACTTGAGCTGTCACATAATTCTGACTATCATATTATAAATATTTGTTAAGTCTGCAACTCCAGCATTTAGGAACTGATGTTGTGTTCCCCTTTGTCGCTAGGCAAATGAAGACACAAACTGTTATTCCTTTGATGCTAGAAGGCTGGACGAAGCCAAAATTGTTCACAAAGGCCATGTTTCAGCAGTGTAAGTGTATTTTTCTGCAAAATTACCTTTTGTACTATTTATTTAGTAGGCTTGGCTGTAAAGATTTATTATCCTGACTAGCATATATTTCTTATCAATATGAAGAGCATATGAATATTGAGGAAAGTTAGAAGAACCTATATGGATATGTCCCTTGCTGGCATATATCTCTTATCAATTTGAAGAACATTGGAATAAATCATAGGGTACAAAGAGAAAATAGAAACTGGATTTGTCACTTAATTCTGTGGTGGGGTTGCTCCAAACATGACTTAAATAATCTTTTGAAGTTGCATTAACTCATAGGTACAGAAGATATCATTTCTTGTATTTGATCTGTACTTATGACATTGGTAGCGTACACGTTTAGTTTCTTCTAATTTGCGGGTCATTTTATATGAATTTGTGTTTTCAGGATGGATATTGACTACTCTCCAACAGGGCGTGAATTTGTTACTGGTTCCTATGATAGAACAGTATGTGTACTCCTAAAGAACTTACAATGAGTTCATACTCTTTGTTATTTTTATTCAGTGATGTATATAATATACTTTTTGCAGGTAAGGATTTTTAATTATCTTGGAGATCACAGCAGAGAGATTTACCACACCAAGAGGATGCAAAGGTTCTTCTTTATTACTACAAATATTTGTCAGTCACACCTTTTGTTTCTAGTTACTGTTGGTGTCCTCATTTTTAGACCAAAGTCCAGACTGGGTACCTTATGCTTACCTCCACTTGCTCCCTCTTCATCTTTTTTCTTCCTGGTGACCAAATAACCCTCAAAATCTCTATGCTGTTAGACTGAGTGGATTGTTTAGTGGGAGGTCCATCTATGTGGATATAGGTCTCCAAGTGGGGCATGGAGCATTCTGTCACTGAATTTTGTTTTCTATATAGTTTCAGGAAGTAGTTCGGTATGAATGAGTTCAGATTTCGTTTTATGCGTCTTTTTCTGAAAGATGATCTCCTGCTATTTACCACGAACATTATTGTAAGATTCTAATCAATTTACCATACTACTTTGAAGGGTGTTTTGTGTGAAGTACACCTACGATGGGACCTATCTAGTCTCTGGCAGTGATGATACAAATCTTCGGCTGTGGAAGTCCAAAGCTTCGGAACAACTTGGAGTTGTAAGTTTTTCAATACCACTCAGTGTTTTCAAGTTGCTGTTATGTTTTGGCATGCTTGTTCCCTGCTGGTGTTCAGAGTCATGCTGAATTCAGGTGGTAGCTTTTTTGGACAAGTACAGAGGAATTGTCTTCTCACTGTGGATCAGTGGAAGCTCCATGACTTGGCAGTATTGCAATTTCCAACTTTGTATGGCCTAATTTACTTCACAGAGCACCTGGACTATTACTATAGATGCTCTTTAATATGTATTTTCATATCCATTAAGGGATGCAAGTGGGCTGGATTGTACAGATCATCTTTTTGGAAAAAAAAGAAAGTTCTGGCCTATGAGACCGCGCACAGCCAAGTTCTTACAATAGTCAACTAATCAAACTCTTAAGGGAAAAGAGAACACCAAAGGAAAGGAGAAAAAGAAAACCAAAAGCAAATTCTTTGTACAAACCATTTGACCCGTTGTATAGTTATTTTCCTATACCATTAATGACAAGAGCCATACATAGAAAATTGAACTATAGCAGCTAGGTGGGATTAGACAATGAGGCGGTCGACAAGCTTCCTTTGATCATGTTTGGTCATTGCTTGGCTTTGTTTTTGGTTAGTTGAATTTATTACTGGATTATCCTGCTTGCTTGACCCTCATCAAGGACATGTACAACAATGTTGTGACTAGTGTTCGAACAAACGATGGTAACACAGATTATTTCCCGATTAAAATTGGACTTCATGAAGGGTCAGCCTTAAGCCTGTATCTCTTTGCCTTGGTAATGGATGAGGTTGCCAGGAACATACAAGGGGATATCCCTTGGTGTATGTTGTTCGCTGATGATGTAGTGTTAGTAGACGAAAACCAGGCGGGAGTAAATAGGAAACTAGAGTTATGGCGGCAGGCCCTTGAGTTTAAAGGTTTTAGATTGAGCAGAACTAAAACTGAATACATGAGATGCGACTTTGGTGGAGTTGTACAGGAGGAGAGAGATGAGTTTGGAAGGTCAAGTAGTGTCTAAGAAGGATACCTTTCGGTATTTGGGATCGATGCTACAGAGGGATGGAGATATTGATGCGGACGTTAGCCATAGAATCAAAGCAGAGTGTATCAAGTGGCGACAATCTTCTGGCATTCTCTGTGACAAGAGGGTACCACAAAAGTTAAAAGGCAAGTTCTATAGAACGGCGATTAGACCGGCTATGTTGTATGGAGCAGAATGTTGGCCTACAAAGATTCGACATGTTCAACAACTGAGTGTTGCAGAAATACGTATGTTGCGATGGATTTGCGGTCACACAAGAATGGACCGAGTTCGGAACAATGATATACGTGATCGCCTAGAGGTAGCACCAATTGAAGAAAAGCTTGTCCAACATCGGTTGAGGTGGGTTGGCCATGTCCAAAAAAGACCTTCAGAGGCACTGGTGCATTGTGGAGTCCTAAGCCAAGCTAATAATATGAGGAGATGTAGAGGAAGACCGAAATTGATATGAGGGGAGGCAATAAAAAGATATTTGAAAGCTTGGGATATACCTAGAGATCTATGTTTGAATAGAAATACTTGGAAAGCAGCTATTGAAGTGCTTGAACCGTGACTTGGGGCTCTTGGTGGGTTTCAACTCTAGCCTACCCCAACTTGCTTGGGACTGAAAGGCTATGTTGTTGTATTATCCTGCTTGCCTGAAAAGCGGTTGCATTAGCATTCTTGGTACTCGGATCCAGTTTGTATTTGTTCTTGTCTGCATTAGGTCGTAGTTTGCTTCAAGAACACCTAGTGATGAACATGTATGTGGAGGCAAAGCAAATGCTCTCTTTTTTCATTTTACTTCACTGAGAAAATCTGTGCCTTTTGCATCATATATGCTTAGTTTAGCTTTTGAGGATTAATACTTGAATGATTGAGTCCAAGTAAACTGATGAGGGGAACATGTGTTATTCTTGTGAATGGTGCAAAGTTCTTGTTTCCGTATTCGTTTTGTGTGTCTGTCATCAACTTAAGGATACCTATCCTGGAAAATGACTGTACTACTTATCATTGATGCCTTAGGATTTTGCTGTTAGTTTATAGGCAGTAATTGTCATCAGATGTACTCCTGATCATCAATGGAAGAGTTTATGAAGGTTTTGCTGCTGAGTTCTTGTATGTGACTGAACAAATCTCTGGTGCAGCTTCTTCCACGGGAGCGCAAAAAGCAAGAGTACCAGGATGCTTTGAAGGAGCGGTACAAGCATCTCCCCGAAGTCAAGCGGATTGTAAGGTAAGCTAGTGTTGCCTCCTCTGGCATGCATGGGGAAATCGTACTTTCTATTTGTATAACCACAAGTAGTTGATGAGCTAGCGTCTCTTACCTAATGTTTTGCTAAATAAAAAGTTTCATCATGCATGGCTTTGTTGTTAATTATTACAGGCATAGACACCTGCCGAAGCCAATTTACAAGGCAGCCAACCTACGGCGCACGATGATTGAAGCTGAAAACCGCAAAGAGGAAAGAAGGCGAAAGCACAGCGCTCCGGGGAGCATGCCTGTGCAGCCCTTCAGGAAGCGAAGAATCATCAAAGAAGTTGAGTAGGCATGCTGTTTGCAGCACGGGCGTGGGAGTTTGTTTTGTTGAGAGAGTTGAGTTCAAGTTTTGTCCCTCCTACACATATATGCTGTATCAATCACTTGGCTTTAGATATTATTTAAAATTCGAAACCAAATATTCGTGTTGGGCCATGCGTTATATGAGAGTTCGCAACCATTCCGAAATGAAGAAGCTTGGAGGGAAACTGACGCCTGATGGCTGAAATAATTGGCCATTCAGTTTCATCAGAGAGACACGGGCATCATCTGGAACGTAACAGCAAATAAAGCTGGTCCAGCGATATATATATCTGTCGTGAAGTACATTCATGTTTTTGAGTTGCTGGCGGCCACATGAGACTGCATGGACACAATGATGAGATTCGTTCACATGAATCCATCTTTATGATTATGATTTTTATGCATGTACACACAAGGCATCATTCCAAATTAAAAGTTATTTTGGCTTTGATAGGTGCATAGTTTTTTTCTATGTATATAGAGTTCTAGACATAGCTTAGTATCATAGTTGTGTAATAAAAACTATGTATAAAAAAAAAAATCAAAACGACTTATAATTTACAACAGAGGGAAGTATGTGTGTAAGAATTATTAGCTAGCTCACATACGCATGGTTATTATCCATATCATATAATCCGATGTGTTTGCCCAGCGTACGTACATCTCGGTGGTCTAATAAGCAGGAGCATCAGTAGCATACAACAGACGCAAGAAGAAATTAATAAACCCTCAAATAGCTAGCTAGGCTGTGTAGCTCCATCTCAATCACTGGTAGCTAGCCAGGGAGCTGAGGGCAAAAAAGAAAAATGAAAAAAAGGGGGGACGAGAGAAATGATCGGACCCGTACGTACGTAAGGTATGCAAATCCATGATACGCTAGCAGGAGTCTATACTACACATCCGTACCGTACGGACGGAGTTAATATTGTACATGCATGTCGACGAGTGGTTGATATCGCCATCAGGTGAGATCGATGAGATCATCCGGTGGCGGTGGCGGCCGCCGGTGGGATGCTTGGTACGCCTTGCTTGTGCAGCTCGGACATGACGCTGTCGAGCGACGGCGGCTTGAGCCCCAGCGGCAGCGGCAGCCATGGCTTCACTAAAACATCTCCGATGGCTGCGTCGATGCTCTCCTTGGACTGCATTGCATTTGCATGCATTCAGATCAATCCACCACAAGATCAGTTGATTAATTATTCAGTACAGTTAATTAATACATATATAAAAATAATGCTTGCATCGCATTTGGATCCCAAAATTAATGTGGTGGTAATATAATTACCGGGTGCGTGTCGAGCTCAAGCTGCAGTTCGGCGAGCTTGCTGCTTGGCGGCGGCGGCGGTGGCGGCGGAGGGACCATCGCCGGTCTGTAGATGGGATGTGGCACCATCCCCGGCACCGGAAACCTCGGCAGCTGCACCACCGCACCGGACGGACGGACGGACGGACCGACATGTATCACTAGCATCAGTACATACACGTACACATAATACGGATGATGATGCATGGAATTAAGGAGCTGATGAGGAAGCAGAGTTGATTACGTAGTTTACATACCATGGCGGCGGCGGGCGGCGGCACGCACGGCGTCCCTTGCGTCACTGCGGCTGCCTGTGGACCCCATTTCCTGGCCGCCTGCATCAGCCACAGATGGAATGGAAGGAAGGAGACAATGCAAGGGTAAATAATCAATCAAACACAGTAAATCCAATTGCATTGTAAGTAAAGTAATAACACGAACAGAGCAGAGGTACGTAGTAGAGCGAGCCAAATTAAGCAAGCTGCCAAAAAAGCGCGAGTCACATGCATGCAGTGCTGAGTGCTGACTGCTACTCTGCAAGTCTGCAACAGCAAGGGAGGGAGGGAGGGATGGAGATGGAGCTGAGGTCCAGGGGAGCACCGAGCACGCACGTTGTACTGCTGGTGCCAGAACGCCGGGTCCACCGCCGGCGGGTGCGCCCACGGCGGCAGCGGCCGGGGCGGCGCCAGGTGCCGCGGCCACACGGGCAGCATCGCAGTCGGAGCCGGAGGCGCCGCCACCGCAGCAGCAGCGGCGGCGGCGGCGTCAGCCGCGGCGGCGTGGGGCGGGTGGCCCCACACGTGCAGCGGCCGGCAGAAGGGCGGGGGCGCCGGCGGCGGGAACCCGAAGGTCGTCGTCGGCACCACCCACGGCCGGCTGGCGTGTGGTGCGTCCGTCCTCGGGGCTACTCCGCCGCCCGCCGCCGCCGCCGCGTACATGTGCCGCTTCTGCGCCCAGGTGGCGGCCTCCGCCTCCCGCGCCATCAGGTGCTTCCTGTGCGACCGGTACTTCTGCAAATTTACCAACACTCCATCAGCATCAGCTGCTGAGCTCCCATGCAGATGCAATTAATTATGCATCATCAATGCATGCATGGATCATCCTTTATTTAATAACAAATCACCGTACGTACATGCCAGCGAAATGAAGTAATGACAACAGACAAATTCTTTCTTTCCATATATATTATTGCATTTTTAATTGTACTACTAGTTGATTATCTAATAATCACCGAGTATTATTGTCTAAAAATTCAATCACCTCAAAAAGTTCTTGCTGCTTACTGCATGCCCTTATTATGGGAAAATGGAATATGCTATTGATCTATGGACAAGTAATATAATTTGTTTAGGGTTTGTTTGGTTTAGCTAGGAGCTGAACTGTTAAAAAAACTGTTATGTGTTGTAAGCCGTGAAAAAATTAATGCGAGCTATGTGCTATAGAAAAGCTGTACCTACCCCTCCCTTGAAATAGCTGTGAAATAAAAACTCTATTTTCACTCATTTCAAAAAGAAGAAAGCCAAAAACAGGGTCCAAGATGCCTCCAAATTTAGATTTCACCCCCATTTGGTTGGTTTTCTCCTTTTTGATAGCACAAGTATTTTCATAAGCTCAACCAAACTCAGCCTAAGCATCGTAAATTTTCGTCAAATTTATGGCTACGTACTCATGCAACATCATCACTTCACTACATACATGTACGACATAACATTTATGTGAGACAACAAGATCGTGCCATCCTCTAGGTACGGCGGCTATTATTATTGCAACTCGATCTCGTCGGCATATAACATGCCACTGCCAGTGGAGTAGAGTAGAGTACCACTCATTTGAAAACAGATCGATCGAGTTTGGGTTTCCGTGCAAACTAGCTTACTCATCAGTGTGTTGAGTACTAGCTAGCTCCATCTATCTATCTATGCATCCAAGAGTACAACAAGCTAGGCATAGGCACTGATCGATCATGAGTTTATTTATTCTAAAATTAATTTCACCCATCATATGCATGCATTGGCATGAGCTAGTTGTTAGTACTACTTACTTAGCTTTTGGTGGTTAATTAACTGATGGTTTTTATATTGTAGTAGTAAGTAGTAAATAAAAGTAATATACTGGAAAGTCATGTGTTTTTGTGGTGCCTAGTCGGGAGGTGACAGAGCATGCGGTGGGCGTGGGCCGGGCCCGGGCGGGACAGCAGCAGCAGGCCCACAAGCAGGCAGGCAGGCAGGCACAGGCAGCTAGTAGTGCCTGTACCGGCTTGGCGTCTCCTCTTTGCATGGTTTGAGCAAAGGAATATATGCAGTCCAATCCAGTCCAACAAGAAGCTAAAAACCATGCTGGATCGCATGCATGCCAAAGCCATTGACAATTTCTCATGCTGCAGTGTAGCGTATCTATCATGCACTGCATGCTTTGCTAGCTTTGCCTTTGCTTTGCTTTGCTTTCCTTTGTTTTTGTTTTGTTGTGTACTGCGTCGTCTGCACCTGCTGCTGCCTCCTCGCTCCTGCTGCAATATAATGCATGCCCACAACCTGTATTTTTTTTTTCTGCTTTCACTTTTACCAGCTCAGATCATGTACTACTAGCTGTGCTAGCTTTGGCAGCTAGCTAGAGCCAGCAGAGAGCCCGGTAAAATATGCATGCATGGAATGGATTCACATGACCAATAGTTCGTTCCCAGTGCAAGATTGAAAGGAACCCCAGAACAACGAAGATTCACATGGTGCCTATGTGTAGCAATGTACTGCAATGCATGGTACTACCATTGGCATGGGCAATGCACCATATGTGCCCCCTCCCTCCAGATCTGGTTGTCCCATATCACTGTATATCGATCTTTATGTTTATCTATATCCCCAATAGTAATAGTAATTATATGTTAAATTCAAAATGGATTCCTCTGTCCGTGATATTTTACTTCCCACAATATTGTCGACCCTCACCACATCTATTAATTGTTGCATACATCGATCTCTAAGTTGCAAGTCATCCATGCCACCGTACAATAAATTGTGTGCTATGTTGCAACTTACGGGCATGTTTGCAAGTTTACTATAAAATTACTACTTCTTAAGATAATATATATGAAAGGAGTATGTATAGTAGGCACACATAAGATGATATATCACAAACCACTGCTTAGACGCTAAAGATAGATGTACCATTTACTAGCTTAATTATGTGAAACTCGTGCATATATTATTGTAAAACCAAAGCATATATATTCTTTGCAGCACAGGAGTCCAACCTGCAGGAATAACTCAAGTGTTGCTATGGAATTCACTGACTCTGATATTTTATTTTGAAACTTGTTAATTATATGTATTTCCCATCCATTACGGTACTGCTTTATTTGAACCAGCTGGCATTATTTCCTTTGAAAATGAACCTGATGTATATAATAAGTTGATGGAGTAGTGATTGTAGGTTGACCCTTCGAGGTATACTTCCTCTTTTCCTGAATAAATAGATTTCTAGAGTTGTCTTAAGTCAAACTTTATAAACTTTGACCGAATTTCTAGAAAAAACTGTCAAGATTTATGACATTAAATTAATATTATTAGATATACCATAGAATATATTTTCATAATGTGCTCATTTTATAACATAGATATTGTTACTCTTTCCTATAAAGTTAGTCAAATAAATTTAAGATAGTTTGACTTGCATAGATTTTAGGAAATTGATTTATTTGTGGATGGAGTGAGTATAGATGTACCTGGAGGTGGCTGGCGATGTTGTGTCTTGTGAGGCAGTCGTCCATGCCCATGATCTCCAGGATCCTGGACGGCACGGCCTTGTCGATGCCCAGCTGCTCCACCGCCTGCACGAACCTCCGGTGCAGCTCCGGCGTCCAGTCCACCTGATAACAATAATATAATACATACATAATTAATTACCAGGCATATGCACATATACATATATGTCGTCATCAGAGATAGATGGATCAATCGAGAGCTAGTAGTCTAGTACGTTACACGTACACAGCTAGCAGATGATGCATGTAAATTACTGAAAGAAGGAAACTTTTATAACTAAGCGCGTGTTCAGTTCCAAAAATACTTCCAAAAAAGTGTTACAGTACCCGTCACATCGAATCTTGCGATACGTGCATGGAGCAGTAAATGTAAACGAAAAAAAAAACTAATTGCACAGTTTGGTTGGAAATCGCGAGACGAATGTTTTGAGCCTAATTAGTCCATGATTGAACACTATTTATCAAATAAAAACGAAAGTGGTACAGTACCCAAATTCCAACTTTCTCTCCAACTAAACACAGCCTAACTAAAAAGGTAGAAAAGCCATGCATGGGCATGGATGGATCGGATCCTTTTGTGATGAAGTCCAAGTAGAGACACGACATGCATGCTGGATTGCTAGTACTATACGCAGAAAGGGGTGGGGTTGAAAAAAGAGATGGAGCACAGTACAACGTGGGTCGTCGTCGTTGAGCAGCTAGCAGGCGTGTAAATGTACTAGTAAATAATAAAAGTAGATTTTATCCTGGGGTGCATAATGCATGCATATGGCAGTGGCAGCTAGTAGGCTGGAGGACAAGACGGACTCTGTGAGACTTGTACCCGGATGAGGGCGAAAAGATGAGAACACTGTCACTTATTGCACAGTTGCTGCTGCTGGTGTTCACTCTAGGCTCCCGGCCACTGTTTGTTGTTGCTGCTGCTATATGCAGGCCGGCTTCAGCAGCTACCAATGCTTGCTTGGGGTAATGGGGTTGGGAGATCCCGTGACCTCTCTCTCTCTCTCTCTCTCTCTCTGCGTGTTTCATTTCATGGATGGATGGGATGGGATCCGATTCATCCCTGCCAAGATCGATCGATCTATCTTTGTATCCATCCGTGCCCGACCGACCGCAAAAAGGGAGCCTGCGTACACGGGGATTCCCATGGCTCTATTCATTGCCGCCATTGCTCTGCCCTCCCTCTCCCTGCAGGGTGTACATGCATCTAATATGTGTAAACCTCCATGCCTGCATGAGAGAGAGAGAGAGAGAGAGAGAGAGAGAGAGAGAGAGAGAGGGAGGAGGGAGAGGTAGAAGAGAGCACAAATTAAAATAAAGCTGAGGTGATGAGCCAGGCAATGGGTCTCTCTCTAGCCTTAATTTCCGTGTTGTTATCGTTGCCTGTCGATCTGCAGGCCATAACACACGTAGCAGAAGATCAGCAAAGCCCGCAGCCGTAGTACACTCCATGTCCATGCAGCAGCTAGCTAAGCTAGGGCGTAACAACGAGCTGATCAGGTCTCCTCTGCTCTGCCACCGCCATGGATTCCATTCCCCCGTGATGATCTTCATCATCGATTCATCGTGGACTAGCACCTCAGCGACTTTTGAAAGACGAGCTAGCGTCCTCGCGTCGGCACATCTGATTGTTCATTTCCTTCGTCTCTCTATATATCTCTGCTAGCTTCTCATGTGTACGTGGCGACAAAATTAAAATTACTACCAAACTACTCCGATCCTATAATAAGCTAGCGATCGATCGGTCGATTATTCAGACTGTGAGCGGTAGATGTGCATGCTCAGCATCAACAGCTAGCTATGCTAGGGCAAGCAAGCTAATTAAGCTAAGCTAGTACCTTTACCTTGCGCTTGCCGTGCGAGTTCTTCCCTGGTGCCGGCTTCTTCTTGCTGTGGCCCTCTGCCGACGCCGACGCCGACGGCTTGGTGTCGGACACGGCGGCCCCTGCACAAGAATCCTCCTCCGTCGTCTGCTTGCTGGCGGCCACATGTTTCTCATCACCACATGTTTGCTCCTCCAACAACCGCTTCTCCTCTTGTGCTACTGTCGTCATCACCGCCAGTTGTTGTTGCTTCACGTCGTCGTCCGGCACCACCGGCGGCTTGTTGTTGGCCGCCTCGTCGTCGACGTGGACTGCCGCTGGGCTCACCGTGTCCAGCAGCAGGTCGTCCGGCGGCGGGGTGGACGAGAACTCTGCGAGGAGCTCCGTGGGGTCGACCTCCAGGTCCGGGAGGATGTCCCCGTCGGCGTCGAAGAAGGGCACGTCGCAGCTGAAGTCGATGTAGTCCAGCAGGTTGTCGTCCACGTCCACCATTGCGAAGCCGTCGCAGCAGTCGGACCCGCCGCCGGACGTCGGGAACACCACATGGTGGTCGCCGACGAAGCCGCCGCAGTGCTGATCCGCCTTGCTGCTGCTGCTAGGGCTCCGCAGCGTCGACACCCCAAGCATGGATATACCCTAGGAGTAGGATATATGTATAGCTAGAGTAATAAAGCAAGTAGCCAGTATTATATATAATCTAGTTGCTTGATCTCTCGATCTGGCGGCTGGCTAATACAATTAGCTCTAGCTACAGATAGATCGATTCGCCTATATGTATAGATATATGGGATTGACAGAGAAGCTAGAGAAATTAAAGACGCATGGATATATGGCGAGATGAGTTGGGATAGATAGATGAGCTCGTCGATATGATAAGCAGAGACGACGACGGACGATGGAGATCTCTATCTGGCTGATGGGCAGCTAATATATAATGGATAAGAAGAAGGGAGCTAGGTATATTAGGTAGCTGCTGCAGGTGGAACGAGAACGGACGAGATCCAAGAGCGAGCGAGAGGGGAAAGCAAGGGGAGGAGGTCAGGAGGAAGAAGATGAGAGCAATGGACGGACGGACTACTAGCAAGGCAAGGCAGCTACAAGACTAGTTTGGTGCGTGGTGATTTTGGAGTATTAGGGCCTGGACTGGACAGCAGGACGCATGTCCACCACACATAAAAACCTCCTCCCTCCCTCCTCTTGCTTGCTTGCTCTCATCATCAGTACACATCATTTCTCTCTCTCATCTCATCTCATCTCTCTCTCTCTCTCTCTCTCTCTCTCGTCCCCACTTGCTTTATAGGGCTTGGTTGGGTCTGGGTCTCTCTCTCTCTCGTGCAGTGGCCATTGGTATGGTGGTATCGCCAGGCAGCCCAGCCAACGCCCGTCTCTTTCGATCGTGTCGCTGTGTGTACACATTATTATTGCATTGTACACCCACCCTACACCGACTGCAAGTGCATATGGCAGACACTGCTAGCATAGAATGCAGCAGCAGCAGCAGCATGGCTCCGCAGCGTTTATCTACCTATCTATCTATCTCTGTATACCGTATCTCAGTGCCTGCCTCTGCCGGCCGGTCGCCTCAATTTGACCATTCCAACTTACGGAGTATATGCTGCATGTCCTTTTTGCATGCATATATAGTTATATCTAAAATTGAATTTGTCTGCCTCCACTACAATCTACATCGTCTACATCTTGTTACTGCTGCCACACGTCATCAGTGTTAAGTAAGGTCTACATATATATACCTATCCGTATTATACTGTTATGTTACTATTACATATAAGCATGTCTTATACACCCTTCCTTCTAAATTGTAGATGGCTTTTCTAGGCACATGCCTATATTATATATCTAGATAGAGATATGCTAATTTTCAGGTGCCTGAAAACTAGTCTTATCTCAGGGGATGCTACATCTGTTGAAGTAATTTGATTGAATGACTACGGAGTAGATCATAATTCATCGCCTTCAACCTCTAGGCTCTAGCGTAGCGGCAAGGACACGGGTGGTCATCTGCCTGCCGCATGCAACTCGCGAGAGAGACGAAAGGCCTCTGCCGCATCGGGTGTGATGCGCTGAGCGGCCGCGGCTGGTGCACAAGCACCGTCTCCTGAACAGACTAAAACAAATCAGGCATCTGATAGATAGGAATTGTGATCTAGATATACATTATGTCTAGATATATAGTAAAAGTTATATGTCTAGAAAAATCAAAATGACTTACAACTTAGAATGGATGAAGTAGTAATTTAGAGTGATATGTTGTATCTCCCCTTCCTATGTATTTTGAAACTCTAAAACCTAAGTGCTCGAATAAACTTTAGCCGCCACCTAATATCTTAGTATTTTCAAGCCTCCATGTTAATACTCACAAGACATGTTAAGAAAAGATAAATTAAAATCTTAAACAATATTCTAAAAGGTAGAGAAGCACAGTATTATCAAAACTGTAGATTGTAATAATTATTGACACAATAGTTATTGGATTTAACGACACACACCGCTTCCATTATTATAAAAAAAACATTACAATATGTAGCCCCCTAAATCTATATCTCTTATAAAGCTAATTCACACTACAAGTTCTGTCTCAAAATGCAAGACATCCACATAATCTCTATCCACATCAACTTCTACTAATAGCCATGTCATGCCACTAGCTTCTAACCTCTTAATGCAAGTTATCCACGTCATCTCTACTTAATTTCGGTATCTTCTAATTTATATATAAACTACCCACCTCTGTCATATAAAAGAACGTAAAATAGACGCCCCAATCTAAATAGAAATTACCCAAATATACCATTACGAAAATTAACTTTTGACTCAATAAAAGTGATGCTCGGTTTCAGTTATCACCCGTCACTACTTAATAGCTAGTATAAAAGTGATAGACAAAATGCTCCTTAAGGATTATGAAACTTTGGACATTAAATATGAGTCTGGTCACCTGCTGCTGCTGCAGGAGAAAAAGCTAGAATGAACACTATTGTAGTAGAGCTTGAAAGTATTTGAAATATGGAAGAAATAAAAGCTAGGCAGTGGTCTAGAGAGGGAAATATTAAGGGGGGATAGGAATACAGCTTATTTTCAGGACATAACAAATTAAAGAACAGGAAGAAAAGAATTTCTTGTTTGGAAAGTAATGAAGGTTTGCTGGAGGATAAAAAATTGATGTTGGACCACGCTGTTGATTTTTATAAAAACCTGTTTGGTCTAGTGGAGAACTTTGGGCTGAAATTAAATGATAACTTTTGGGAAGAAGAGGATAAAGCGACTGATAGTGAGAATGAGCTTTTGGAAGCTCCTTTTACTGAAGAGGAAATTAAATTAGTTGTTTTGACTCCTATGTTGAGGGAGCCCCGGGACCAGGTGGTTTCTCTTTTATGTTATATCAAACCTGTTGGGAGGTGACTAAGGGAGACTTAATGAACTATGCAAGAGATTTTAAAGTTGGTAAGTTAAATTTGGATAGGCTTACCATGCTGTGATTATGTTGATTCCAAAGGAAACTGAGGCTATGTAACACCCTCGGTGTTACACCATAAATCATTTACTAAAATATGTTATGAGCATCATGTTTATGTGTTAATGCATGTAATAGAGTGTGTAGATCAATTTCTGTAACTCGAAACGATCAACAGAAATACGAAACGAAAGTTGATTCGATAGTCATGTTATATCACTTATGGTTTAAAACCAATTTTTATTAAACAAAAATGCTATAGAACATGTATGTGATAGTTAAATAAAGTTGGAAGTACAAACTTTGTAGATGACAGTGAAATACTTGCGGCCGAAAAATGATATTACTAGCTAATATTTCCACAAGCTTAGAAATCGCAAGTGGAAATCAAATTTAGCTCAAAAACTTAGAGATTTTCAAGTCTGCCAACAGTTAGACACTGCTATGTTTAGCAATTTTTGTAGAGAAATTGGGTTAAGGAGTAGGGTAGTATTATGTCTTGTTTTAGTAGCCTAATATATCCTCTAAGGTATATCAAAAGTGGTTTGGGGATTGGATCAACAGTTTAGATGTCTCGAACGCTTTAAAATCCGTGCATAACATGAACTCGGGCCGTCTTCTTATGTTGGGCACGGTCACTAGGCCGTCCTGCCCCGACGTCGCGGCATCGGTGCGCCGGGCACGCGCACACGTAACCACGCTGGCCGGTTGCTGCTGCCGTAGCCTGGCCACGGTGGGCACGCCGCTAGCCGCCAACCGCGAGCCGCCGCGCCCGCCGCTCACCTGTGCCTGGCTGTCCTGCCGCCGTGCCACGCTGCTGCCGCTACCGTCACGCCGCCTGGGCTTGGCCGAGGATGGCCTCAGCGAGCCGATGGCCTCGCGCTTCTTTGCCTGCGCCTTCGCCTCGCTTCGCCTTTGCCGCTTTGGTGCCCAGGTGCCATTGTATTTGCTTTCGCCATCGCGTCGCGCCGCGCGGCACTACTCACGTCGTGATGTTTGCCATACCCGTCGCGTCGCGTCATGCGATCCACTGCACCTCTGCGCTATTGCCAGCCCTGTGCGTGTCGCCTCTACCGCGCCCACGTGGGCGAGCCGCCGTCGCCACGCCATTTATGGCATTGCGGCGCACGGGCCACGCTGGTCGGACGCATGCGTGCGTTGTCTGTAGCACCGGCTGGTGGGCCTCCCATGCTCGCCGCTCACGTCCCGCCAAGGCGTCGACGAGCCGAGCCCACCTGCCACGCCGTCTCTCTCTTTCCCTCTTTCTCCCTCTATTTTTCGCCACTGTCGCGTCGTGTCATGGTAAAGCCAGAGAGCGAGCACCTCTCATCAATTGATCGTGCTCGTGTCTCTGCCTTCACGCCTCCTCTCCAGCCGACCCCACCCCACCTTGACTCGCGTCAAGCCGAGATCCAATTTTGGAGCTTTGCCTGCCGCCGTGCCGTTAAGGCCCGTCGCTGCCCGCGTCGTGGCCAGTCTTCACCACTTCATCCCGCGCCAATTCCTCTGCACCACTAGCTAGCCTTGGCTCCCTCTTCGTCATGCGCACGCTAGTCGCAGCTCTAGTGCTGCCTCCTCGCCGCTAATGCAGCCGTGTCTTTGCGGTCCGCCGTTCACCTCGTAGCACGCACGTGGCCAGCCTCGCTCAGGTCGTCTCCGGCTGAGCCGGCTTCTCAGTAAGGTCACTGGTGAGTGGTCGTTGCTCACCCGCTACCCCTACCGCCTTGTTGTTGCTGTGGCTCGCCTGAACGCCGTCGCCATTGTCGCAAGGTATCTACCGTCATGGAGAGGTCCCTCTACGCCGTCCTGGCTCGTGCAACTGCCGCCCATCATCTCGCGTCGAACCCCAGGTGAGCGTCGGCCTCGTAGATAGGTCAGCGGGGGTCCCGTGTGGCCAGCGTAAGCGCCAGTGCCACCGCTCGCCGCGCCGGAGCACGCGGGGATGGCCGAGGACCTTGCTGTTGTAAAGAGGAGAAAGATCTGAGGGTTTCGTTGCAAAGTCGCTGTCAATAGAATTTGTAACGTGGACTGTGGATTGTTTTCATCATAGTCCAGGGCTGTTTTTGCAAGAGTGCCGACGCGCGCGGGCTTCCTCACCGCGGGCTGCCTCCACGCGTGGGCCGCACCTCCCCTATGGGCCGTCGCGCGCTCGTGC